AGCCCTTAACCCTGTCTGCTCCAAGTGCACCATACCTTGGCTGACCCTGCACTCTGACCCCAGCTTCTTAACCAGCTGGGATATGTGAAAAAAGTTTTCACTGTGCTGTAAGGTACATGTGACAAGTAAAGGCTTGTTCTTGGAATGCAGTCACTAAGCAGTCACTAAGTTTACAGTAACCGGATAAGCTGTATTTTTGGTATTCTCAACTTCAAGAGAAAAAAAATGAAAGGCCGGAGATGATTGTTAATAACTGCTATTATGAAAGTGATAACAGCAACTAACATGTTTCCTGAACTAACATGTATCCTCCACAACATTAACTGGGAGAAAAGTTGTTCTTTTAATACGTTTACAAAAATTTTAATCATTGGCCAATTGCTGTGGTATAAGAAGTAAAAAAATATAAGCAGAAGCAAAAGTATAAGCAGAAGGCATCACATCCCTCCCTCGTGTATAATCTTCCTATAAGAGCATGTCCTGGAGTATGTTATTCAATGCTGATTTTGTTTGCGTATCTCCATCAGGATCATGGAGAGATGTCAGAAGATGATGTGAGGCAGTGTGTGTTGGAGATGGTGATAGCGGCACCAGACACTCTGTCCATCAGTCTGTTCTTCATGCTGGTGCTGTTGAAGCAGAAGCCAGAAGTGGAGCAGTGTATACTGCAGGAGATGCATAACGTCTTAGGTAACATTCGTGGTAGTTTTTAGTTGCAGAAGTATATAAAGCACCAAAAGTAATGTTAATTCTGTAGCCCCCTCCCTCCCTTGTAGGTGTCCTGTTTCTCACAAAAGATCATAGCATGGGGCATGTTTGGATACAATAAATCACATGGCATTCATTCACACACATCAAACAAATTCTGCAGTAAAATCGATGAAATTGCCTAGCGATTGGTATGTATAAAACATATAATGACTTTTGAAATAATTAGAGAAGAAAAACAACACCTACCCGTGTTTACAGGTGGACGGGAGGTGGAGCCGGCTGAGCTGCAGAAGTTGACAGTGATGGAGAGTTTTATAAAGGAGTCTTTGCGGTTCCATCCTGTGGTGGATTTCATCATGAGGCGAGCGCTAGACGACGACTTCATCGAAGGCTACAGGGTGGCCAAAGGGACAAACATCATTCTGAACATTGGACGGCTGCACAAGAGCGCAGAGTTCTTCCCCAAAGCCAACGAATTCAGCTTGGAGAACTTCGAGAACAATGTAACTACGACGTGGGTTGCATTTATGGGAATAATGCATGAGGGCTTTGGATCGACTTTCATGTACAAACCATACCCAACTGCATGCAAAACTATTTAAAAACACATACAAGCCCTTTCTCGTTGCAGTAATGTCAGCATGCTGTTTAATTCATTTGATTAAAAAAAAGAAAAAAAAAATCAATGTTATTGATCTGTACTCCTGGACTAACAGGTGCCGAGTCGTTTCTTCCAGCCATTTGGTTGTGGACCACGTGCCTGTGTGGGGAAGCACATAGCGATGGTGATGATGAAGGCTGTACTGGTGACGGTTCTGTCGCAGTACACGGTGTGTCCTCAGCCCGGCTGTACCGTCAGCACCATCAGGCAAACCAACAACCTCTCACAGCAGCCCATAGAGGAGGACACACAGAGCCTGGCCATGAGGTTCATACCACGTAAACGGAGCCCAGACAAGCAATAAGCAGCCTCTGGATTGGGAAGACATCATTCCCATCAAGTGCAGCAGGGTTGCAATAACTATGACCATGTTGCAACCTCATTTTTTTTCTCTCTCTCTCTCCATCTTTTCAGTCTGAATATGTGACTCAATGATCTGTGGCCAAATGCGGATCAACAGAAATGAGAAATTGGAAAATGAAACAACTAAAAGGTAACATGGTTTCAAACTAGTAAATAATTAATAATTAAATATTTCAATTTTGTCGGAAACGTTTTAAATACATTACATGTATGTACACCCAGCACAAACCTATTATATCTAGTATAATACTCTATATTTTGAACTCCAGAATATAACATGCATGTTTTCTTGCATACTACACACACCTATTTTAGGAAATATACTCATGTATATGTCATCAGTAATAATCCACCCATAGTAGTTATTATTATTTTTAAATGGCAACATAACTCACTTGTCTGCAGATATAGTGTTTATAGTGTTTTTATCAAATATATTTCCTCTACAGTTATAAAGGAAGTCATGGCTCCTTCATTAACGGTCTTATCATAACAAATACTGCTGTAATTAAAACAGTAACAAACGAAACGTGTGCATTTTCAATGTGTCCGTTCATATGTGCAAGGACAGAAAGGGAATGAAAAGACAAAGAAAGAAAGATTTAAAGTTTGAAAAACAATAAATATATATATATATTTATATATATTTTTTGGATATACACCATTAGTGTCGCCTTAGCTCAGGAATTAGGTTCAATTACAAAAGGAAAAAAAAATACCATTAGGATTATAAAGCAGTTCGTTAAAGAAAGACAGCCGATGTATTGCTTTACAGTCGGTCATTACTTCAAGGAAGATCTCGTCACATCCACGGACAGGCTTCTTCGTTCATAATCTTCAAATCATACCGAGTTAGCAGGAAGATTGTAAGACATTTCAGTTGAGGATTGATGCACAGAGTTGCTGAAGCTCAGGGTTCTTGCAGGACTCTCTGGCAGTGATAGAGGAGACAGTCAGGGAAAGCATTCAGAGGAGAACGCAGCCATACAGCCAGAGAGGATCCGTGTACACGACAGTGCATCAGACAGGGGGCGCCACTCAGCAGACGACAGGCCACGATGCCCTCTGAACCTGAACATACACACGCCAGTAAGTGCTGGAAAATACTATGAACTTATAAAATATGCAACGAAACGTAGCTAGAACGGACAACGCGAGACGCTCTTCAACGCAACCAAGTCGGAAAACCATCTTCAGCCAGGAGGCGCTTAGTCAGACAGTAACGAACTCGTCTTACCGATGACGTGCACCGTGTGGAGCCGGAGGCTTTCCTGAAGAGCATCAAGCGTGGTAATGAGAGGTCCTCTAGCACCGGTCAGCAGTTTCAGGTTCTGCTTCACATCATTAGAGAAGGACAGCCATAATTTACCGTACTCTTCTGTGCTCAGCATCAGTGGTCTATCAGGGAAACAACAAACAAACAAACACTTTATATGTACGTTTAAAGAACTCAAAATAGGTTTTTTTTACAACACAACCTGAGTTTTCGACCTATATCGTTAAATATAGAAAAAGAAACATCGTATATAACCACATCTCACACAGTGATCGTGCATACAAAACATCTTTCATTAAATGGTTTCGTGCTAATATGCTAAAATCACTGGGCCTTGTTGATCAATCTTTTAGTAAAGTTGTGTGCAAATATTTGCACAAGCCAAATAAAGTTTTCACCAAAAAAAAAGTTTCAGAAACCCTGATTTTCTTCGTACTCGTGCTGCCTACACAGCTCATTTGCATTCGGCGACGCCCACAAAACCCCATAAAAGGTCAAGTCTGAAAGCAGAAGTGGAAGATATTTTGACTCACTTCTATGCAAATAATGTTATACATACATACATACATATGTATAAATATAAATAATAGTATACATGTATAAATAATATTTAATAGTATATATATCATGACAATAATAGTAATAATAATTATTATAATTAAGCAAGCACTAAATCTTCCATCAGCTGAGGCACTGATTAAGATTTGCGTCCATGCGAGGACAGACCGCCTCGTCTTCCCGTTATACGGTGTCATTTCTTTTGTCCAAATTGTATTTCATTTGTATTGGCACCCTTTTTTATTTATTCTTTATTTCAGATTCTTTAATTAATCCCAATAATATAAAATGACTGGTTTTCAAATAATGTTCTTAATGGTACTCTTAGTCCGTGACCTAGTGAACCAGGGTAAGGATGCGGTTTTGATAGACACTCCAAAGCACTTCAATATGTAGAATAAATGATAAATAAGTAAATCTGTAAATGTAATTTAAAAAAAAAAAGCTATTTGAACTCGACAGCATATTCCACACATAAAATCTCTGTAATTCTATGAAATTCTATGATTTGAAATCGATCGAGTCGAGGTGTACGTGAGTTAGTCGTCTTCTGTGTAAATTTACACACACTCCGGAGCACGACTTGGATACGAATGAGTTTACGTGATTTTCAAGAATGCCACATTTCCTGCATAGACGCTCGGACGAACGGTTCACGAATAAATCCGTTCGTATCCCGCTTGATAAACGAGGCCCGTCGAGAGAAAGTTCAGATCATGTAAAGCACTGTTCTGGCGTGTGCAGGTCATGCCTTATGAAGTCAGCAGTGGAGAGATGGCCAGAGAACAGCAGAGTGTGTGAATGTCCAGACTGTGTTTGGTACAAAACCGCTCCTCTGAAGGTCACTTGAATGTGAGGTCTCTCCATCAGCAGAGTGTAACGGCACACCGATGAATCCCCGCCGTCCAAACGCTCCATCACGTTTCCTCTTAGACTCGCCATCTTTAGGGAGTCAAACGTGTAAGAGGTAATATGTTCATTTGGGTATTTGGTCAATTTGTCATAAAATGCAGGCAATCATTTATTATGGTAGAAAGATTCTGCTCTTTTTCTGAATGATCGGATAAAATTCGTTAAAAGTTACCGATGAAATAACTAGCATTGTACTGGCATTCCATTTAATTATATATCACAAGAAAACTAACTGCTGGACTGCATCTGAGTGTGTAAATAATATTCAAAACACATGGTCTGATTTAATGCAGCTAAACAAACACATAATATCTTCATATGATTCGATTCGAGTCTTTTAAACAATAAACTCCCTCACAGCTCACGATCATCGCTCCATACCTCCAGCTCCTCACAGCTCAGTTCAACGGCGACATCGCGGAGCGGCGTCTCTGTGGTGTTGCAGACGAACAGCACAAGCAGCAGAGCATCATCTCTGTAGACGCGGCAGCAAGAGACGGACAGGTGGGGGTCAGAGGT